CAAAAAATTCAATCATGGATTACAAAAAATTCGCTCATGGATTACAAAAAATTCTATCATGGGTTACAAAAAAAAAAAAACAAAAAATTCAATCATGGATTACAAAAAAAAAAAACAAATTACGATCATGGATTACAAAAAAATCGATCAAGTATTATAAAAAAATCTATCATGGATTAACCCAAAAAAAAAAAAAAAAAAAAAATTACCGTATTTGACTCGCTGATTCACTGTACGGACTCGCCGATTCCGCACAGTGAATCGGCGAGTCACTGTACAGAATCGTCCGGTTCTCTCTAGAACCGGATGATTCCCGTTTTTTTCGCCGCTTCGATCCGTCCATGGCGATTCCCGAGTCGAACCGGGCGAGTCCGGTTCGACTCGACGTTTTTTTAAACATTGATATGAGCAATTACTGACCTTTTCACCAACATCAATTTTTCACCAACATCAATCAGGTGTATTGATGGTTGCTTTCTCTTTGTCTTCGCCTTGGATATTGGTCCCCCACCATTTCCAACTTTTTCTTTGATGGATTCTTGAGCTTCTAAATGATAGATTAATAGATGCTTCTGATATTTGGAACCCACAGTGGGGAAACTAGTGTCTCAAAATCTGACCACTTGGATTAGCGAGTCGGGAATTGTTCGGGACCACTCTAGTTCCCAGCCAATATTAGCCATGTCCCATCAAGTGTAAGAAAGCACGACTTGCCCGGAACCCGGCCATGGGCTGGGCCGAGTCCAAGTAGATTAGCCGAGTTGGGCGAATCCTGGCTAGGGCAAAAAGTGTGGAAAAACTAAAAAGAATATAGAAATTTTTTTAAAAATATATTTAAAATAAAATAAACAAAACACATCTAAATGAAGTTAAAAAAATAATGCAAAAATAGTTTCGAAAAAAACAATTTGTGATTGGGGGTATTTTAAAAATAATCTAAAAAGAAGGAAACAATATAAAAATATGTATTTATAGCCAAAGACTTCCTAATTGTAGGGTTCTCGTGAACCCCTACCTTGTAGAACTGAGAATTCCAAACATCGGGATCCTACCCAAGATCGTGTACATGATTGACTAAATGCGAAGTAGATGAATATAACTATAAATCGAGTGTGAGACGTAAAGCAAACATAAAAAACATACAACAACAACATATGATTTACGTGGTTCACCTTGTAGGGCTACATCCACGGCCTCGCCAACTAGAAATTGACTATCACAATGAAGATTACAATTTTGGATTACAAGAGATAATGCTATTTGTAAACATCGATAAAAGATCATTAACGATATTCCCTTCTAAACCCTCTCTTCCGACTGAGCAACACCATTGATTAACATCTTCTTTCCCACCGTAATACTGCTACCGGAAATATAACCTCAAGGGCAACATAGAGATTTTCTCTCTCTAGAAGTGAAAGTTAACCAACCCAAAACCCATAAGAATACCGCTCCTCTCTCAGAGGATGTCTCTCTCTCTTGGAGACCCATCTCTATATTGGAAATCTATTATCATAACTCCCAAAGGGGTGACCCTCAAAGGATGGGTATTATGTCTTCATTCACTCTCTTATAAAAATATCACTTTCTTGCGTCCCAATAAAGTCAATTTCCTATTTCCTATAATATCCTAATTTTTAAAAGACAATATGGGTATGATGACGTAGCTATCACCAAACCCAACACTAATCTTTGTCAAAATGATAGAAAACATAAAAGAACATATTAAAACTAATTTTCTTGTTTTCTTGGGATTTTATAATGTTTTTGAATTTTTCTAAGATCACAAACTTGACCACCAAACTTGGGAGGTTGGCAAGCCCGAGTTACTCGGGTGCGTCTGGGTTGGCTCGTCCGAGGAGCTGAACATTGGTCCCACCCTGGAACACCACCCCCCTTGTCTTCGTTCTTTTCTCTTCTTTTTTTTTTCTCTCCATTTTCCATCTTATTCATTGTTATGGGACCGGGTCGGTTCCTAGCTAGCATTAGCCTGACCCCACCCTAAAACCCTTTTGTTTTCTATTTTTTTTTCCGTTTTTCATCTTAATTTTTTTCAACCTTAAAATACAGTCCCTTAAAGTTTTATTTTATTTTATTTTTTCGAATTTTTGAAATAGTCAATCAAAATTTAAATTAGTAAATGGACAATCCACCAAACTAAAGAAAGTGACCATGTATTAAAGAATTCTAAATAAAGTACATGCATCCCCATATTAAGCAGTTAGAATCCAAGGAATGTGATGAGCTTAACATTTTGGATATTATAAGGATTTGACTATTAATATAAAAATCAAGTTTTTTTTTTTTTGGGTAAGTAAGTGGATGAGAAGGCCCTCTACCCGTTTTTCATTAAATAACAATAAAAAAAACACAATTCATAAATTTACAACCCCTTGATGAGGCAATTGAGCAACATCATGGAGTAACGGAAGGGAAATATAATCAGGCGGTCTAGTGCGCCAAACGGTGGAGGCAAAATAAATTGTAGCTTTTTTAGCGAGTGTATCGGCCATTATATTAGCCTTACGATAGATATGTGAAATGTACCACTCACATCCAGTAAGTCTTTGTTTGCAATTGGCAGCAACAATGTGTAGATGCCATAGGGCCTTGCACCTATCTCGAATAACATTGAGGAGTAGAGATGAATCACTTACAATTTATAGAAAACAACAGTCTAACACGATGGCAGATCCACTCCAACTTGCAAAGCATGAAATTCAACACAATTATTTGATGCAACTCCAAGGGGTTGTTCAAATCGTCACCTCTAATGATCCTACCTCCACCTGCCCTTCTTGGATTCTGTAGAGAAGCTCCACCAATATTGAGTTTGAAATGGTTTGGGCGTGGAAAGGACCAGGATAGAAGATTTTGTGTTATCTTGCTGCCAAGTAATACGAATATTATATGTTATGGTGTTTTTAAATATATAAAAGGTTCAAGCCGTACAATCTGTCATCTCTGTAACATGCAATACAATTCTCTTGACAAGTTGTTCTCTCCTAGAAGCCTTCATCATGCCTTGAGCGATGAAGAAGCGCCTCTTCACTCAGATCCATAGTGTAATAAAACCAATGAGCATCATGCATAGTCCGTTTTCCTGGTGCATCGACCAATTACGCGCCTCAAATCTTCTCCAATCTTGATCGAGAACTGGTTCGGCTTCTTCGCTATAGAGGGTGGAATTGACAGTATTGGAGTTGGCTGACGGAGAAGCGGCATCCTTAATGCTGGAGTGGCTTCAATCCGAGCGTGTGTAGACCTTGGTCTTAGTACTCTTTAACAATATTCGGGCTGAAAGAGGACCGGACACTGTGCTCGATCCTGACACAATGGCAACAATCAATGCCTTATGTACCACCATTGATAAGGAGTTCAACTTCATTCATCTTGACATCTATGGAGTCAAATTACAGGAACTGGCTGCTAAAGAAAGGGAGGTTTGTGTTACTAGGGGTGAGTTGTGCTCAATATGCCTTGAGGAAGTGACTTATGGAGACAACAGAAGGTGCCTCTGGTATGGTAATCTGAGTCTGAGTTGCTCTCATACTTTCATTGCTGTTGCATTTTGGGATGGTGGAGCAGCAGCCTGAAGAAGAATATCCGAGTGTCATGCCCGTTATGCCGGAAATCTGAGTGTGCAACTCTTCACTGTTAATATTGATAATTAAGCTTTCTTTGTATGGGTCAGAATTACAGTTTAGGTTGAAAAGATTGGTTGGGCTGAAGGGAAGTTTTTCTTTTCTTTTATATATATATATATATATATTTTAAGCCATTGATAATGTACCATTTCTTTGTGTGGGTTAGAATCACAGTTTAGGTTGAAAAGATTGGTTGGGTTGAAGGGAAGTTTTTTTTTTTTTTTCTTTTTTGAAGCCTTTGATAATGTACCAATTCAACATAAAGGGATTTGATTCATACCCTGATCTGAATTGACATAAAAAAAAAAATCTCTTCAATCATTTGTTAACTCTTTTCTCAATTGAAAGAGTCTATATCATTCTTTT